TGCTCGGGGCCCACTAATGTAGGAATAACCCTGTTGAAGCGAGGTGGACGAGAACCGAACTGAATTCTGTAACCTCTCTACAGTCTGCAGGATCCATTGTGAGACATTCGGCAGAAGTTTCCACGCTGCCAGAAAATCTACTAAGGGAACCAGTCTCTCGAGACTGGGGTCTGGTGTTACTAGACGAGCCACTTTGGTGCCCTGAAGCGATTGACCGGCAGTACTGTACCGTCACCGGGCGGCAGCTGGGAATTTTGCTCGCGGGAGCGCTCTGTTTCTGGGTCTGGCGATATGAGGAGCTAGACGGCTGGGACTGCTCCCGCTCAGCAGTCCCAAATACCTGGGGCCGGCGAGGGAGGAAGCGCTGGAATGCCGCCGCTTGCTTCTTCGCCTCCTGAAACCTCTCGATGACAGTGTCTACTGCGCCGCCGAAGAGGCCAGAAGGCGATAGCGGGGCATCCAGCAGGAAGAATCTGTCCTTATCTTGTAACTTGGACAGATTCAACCACAGGTGTCGCTCCGTGGCCACGAGAGCTGCCATGGAACAGCCGATGGCTCTGATCGTTTCCTTGGTGGCCCAAAGTGACAGATCTGTCACGCAGTTCGGCGACGCAGTTCAGATCGTCAGATTCCTCTCCCTCCCTAGTGTCCAGGTCTTTTAGCAGGTCGGCCTGGTACGCCTGCAACACCGCCATAGTGTGCAGACATGCCTGATAGGGTGGCTGACCTGCCGCCGAATGCGCTTTTCCAACTAGGCTGGATGTCAGTCTTACTGGCCTAGTAGGAAGCTTCGGGGCCTTCAGAGACGATGCTGATGACGGGGACAGATAGCTCGCGAGTGTCAGTTCCACCGCCGGCATCGCCCCATATCCCTTCTCATTCAGCCCTGTGATGTTGGACTAATTAGATGCTGTGGGGCTGAAGAGTCGGGACGAATATGGTTTCTCCCACGATCTCGAAAGCTCAGAATGGAGATCGGGGAAAAAAGGAAGCCCCGACGTGAAGGTTGCGATCTAGATTTAAGGAAGCGCTCGTCCCAAGAGCAAGTTGCAAAGAGCCAAGAGCAAAGTCCTGTTTCTCGGCTGGCCATTCGATGTTCAGTTTAGCTACAGCACGAGTCACAACCTCCACGAGCTCCTCATACGCGAGGGACTGTGGTGGCGTGTCCACAGTCTCCTCCGTTTCGACGCTCATCAGATCAACCTCCTCGGAGGAAGATAGATGAAGCGCCTGGCCCTCTCTCCGGGGGGAAGAAACCGCTGGGCGGGCTTCCGATCCCTGAGAGGGGGCCGTGGATCTAGCGGGTGAGGACCGAGAAAAGTATGAGCCCGTCTCGGATCCCTCTGCTAAATCCACTTGTAATCCCCACGATAACAGCCGCCACTGTGCCTCAGCAACAGTGGCGCCGGACCCAGCAGGATCGCGAACCTGGCCGCTTTCATCGAAGACGGCCAGGCGGGAGCGAAGCACACGGAGCGGGAGAAGCTCACAATCATGGCAGGCAGCCCCCTCGAGAGCTGTGCCGTGCATGCTCCGCTCCCAAACAGACGACGCACAAATCGTGTGTATCCCCACCCGAGATATAACGTGGGCAGGGAGGGACGACTTGAAACACTGTCCGCTCGCCACATTTGCTTTTGATTTACACTTTGGCATTTTTCTCACTTGCTAACAGAGTTTTTCTGACTGACTGAGTGCTTTGCATATATTCACACACACACCACAGACACGCTCGCTGAAGAGCAAAAAGCTAACGTGTGCTTGCCGTATGCGCCTTTATGCTTCCTGGTTGCTTATGTCACCCCGCTCGTGACGTCTCGCTTCGCTATTGGAAAGATTTCACACATGCTTCAGTACAGTGTCTCACCGGGGGCATTCCCAAAGCATTCGACGCAGCGTCTCTTTCCCTTCGGGGAACCATGGTTACATACGTAACCTCGAGACGTTTTTCTTAGACAAAATATTTTCTTCTTAACTTTACCTAAAAATCCACCAGATGCCCCATATGTAAATTCTCCAGATGTGTGTCGTTAAAAAGGCTCAATAGGCTACGCATCCTTTGACCCACTGAACTTTTCCCTGAACTTTTGGCAAAGTTCACAAGGATACACTCGCAGGTGCATACCATAAAATGGATGGAATGGATATCCTTTGATCACTGAACAGAAAAATTATCTGTTTTGATCACTGAACTTTAGGTGACACAACACCAAAGTTAACAATGCCAGATCCCTCAGAACTTATTAGATTGCATACGAGTCACAACCCCAGAAACATCTTTAGAGGTTTTACAACCTTTTGAAATACAGTAGCTACACTGATATGGACGCATCAGTAATCATACAACCCAGACACCCACCACCATTTTTATTTCGCTGCACTGCGTGAGACGAAATATTTGCATTTCGTACCATGTTGTAAAAACTTTAGATGTTTAATTACGTACGTCTGTTTCAATTGATAGATAACACACCACAAGTGTTACGGGCGGAAAATCAAAGAGTCCCTGTCTTGTTTTTACCGCTTTCATCCTGATATTTTAACTATGGTGTAACCTACGTCTTCAAACTGTTATACCACACCGCAAATTTTAAGATTGACAAAAATCAAAGAGTAAATAAAGGAATTACTAAATTAAGTGTGAATAACTAAACTAAAATAAAACAACATTTTCCTGTGGTTTATATGTGATTGTTTAGAAGGAAAACTTGTATAGGCTAACCTAATTTTTAAAGTGAAAAAGCTTTAGGATGAATGCTGAATGGTTTCATCAATTAAGAAATGTCAAAGGTTTATTAAAACCAACTCTCTTTAATTTTAAAAACGTTATTTTGTTTAATTCTTTTACCATACATTTCAATATTTGCGTTGGTCTCTCCTTACGGTGTTAGGGGCAGGTAGTGGGGTGTGGTTTTACCACGACGCTAGTAACTTCATTCTGAGTTTGTGCAGCGGCGAGTGATTGTATAACAATCTGTACCTTTTTTTTTTTTTAATTGTAATGTTAGACTACAAGATTTTGACAACTACCGTATGCTGTTGTTTTAACGAACGTATCTGGTACTTTTTGTTTTAGATCAGCGTAACATGCTCAGCTCTTTTTATATTTTATTTTATTTAACTTTGTATCAGTAACAAACTCTACCTTTTTAAAAGTGCAACATAGATTTTGACAAGTATCTTATGCTGTTGCTTAACGGTCTGATATTTTTTTGTTTTGGATCACGGTAAGATCCTCAACACTTTTTATTTTATTTAACTTTGTCAAACTCTGCCTTTCCTAAAATTGTTTAACAACACTTAAATGCTCGTCTTGACTTGTTTTTACTGTTTTTTCTGGAAAACAGTCATTACATTGCTCATATTGCATGTATGTTTGATGTTTTTCTTCAAATGTGTGTGAAAAACTTTAATAAAAACTTCCTTTCATCCCGTTTACCAATCGATACACCATTTCACAAAGTTTAAGTTTAAAGCACATAGTTTTTGAACAGTTTCAATGTACTGCTTCAAAAACACATTCCAAAACAAAAAGAGAACTCATAAATTCCTTTGGATCGGTGGGGTGGATAAACAGATGTCCAGTTAGATTTGTGCTGTTGTCCAAGATAAATATGTAACACTTTACTGTCTAACATTAAATCAACACTGCTTGTGAAAATAGTGAATGTTAAAATTTACACAGAAATGTGCAACTAGCATCTGTTTTTGATTTCTTTATTTTACACATGCACATAATTCCAGGTGGTCCTAAACACAGGGATCTTTGTGCTCTTCTGAATTTTTATGACAGTCATCAATCAAATTTTTGACACTTAGTCGCCTATACCCTCTCTCACAAACCATTATTAGTCTTCATGATTTATGGTACATTCCTAAATACAGTACATCCACTGATCTATCTAGTTGATCTATAGTCTGTAAACTTCTAGAATCTCTCACATCAGGAAAACTACTTCCATATTAAGTTATCTATATTCTAATTTAAAGTTAAATCCACATGCTTCAGTTTCATTTGCTCTCTAAAAACTGATTGGATGTATTCTTTTGACATATAAAGATTAATATAAAAATAAATATTTATTGATAACAGAAAAGTCAATTATAATTTTGTTAATAAGATTATTTACACTGAACAAAATTATAAACGCAACACTTTTGTTTTTGCCCCCATTTGTCATGAGCTGAACTCAAAGATCTAAGACTTTTTCTATGTACACAAAAGGCCTATTTCTCATATTAAGTTATCTATATTCTAATTTAAAGCTACATCCACATGCTCAAAACAGATGGTTGTCAAAGGTAACCTGTAAATTTGAGTTTAATTAAATTTGTTAAATATTTTAAAAACACTGATGTTTAATTTTGCTCTCTAAAAACTGATTGGATTTATTCTTTTGACATATAAAGATTAATATAAAAATAAATATTTATTGATAACAGAAAAGTCAATTATAATTTTGTTAAGATTATTTATTTATTTAGAATGTTAATGTAACTTAAATTGAAAAAAAGTTTGAAAACCCCTTCTATAAATTTGCATGCATAAAAAGGGTTATTTTTTTAAAGTTAATTTTGCAAAGCTGGCCTCCATAATGAACACAGGCTACCTGGTTAAATTGTGAGATGATGTCAAAAAATATTCTTTAATCAATGGCTCAGTGTTTTCTCTTTCTCCCTTGTTTTAGAGTACACTGATGCTGATGAATAATCAAAGTAAAGACTTTTTTTCTATTACTGCTATAGCTTTGAAATAAGAAATAAGTCCAGTGTAGGGACTAGTGTCTTTTTTATTGATTATCTAATATATTTAGTTACAACATACCATTGTACTATCTTTTAAGCTCTCATCCAGCTTTTTGTGTCACTTATGTTCATTTTACAAGTAATGCTGAAGTCCTGCATGGCCATTTTGAGATGCAATATTACTTATTCATTCACTTGTCTGATTCATTAAAAAAACCAACACCCCTCCTCCAAAAAAAAAAAAAAAACACTTTTATTAGTATATTTTTAACTTTATTATTTCTCCACTGAACATTTCTAAAAAGAAATAAAATGAGTCAAAGTAGCTCATTTTGTCTTCCAGTCAACTTTTTACATGCTGCTTTTCACACACACAAAGGGCCTCCTTTCAGAACATGGTGTATCATTCCAATTTCCATCTGTTGCAAGAAAGAAAAAAAAGATGTTATAATGTAATGAGATGTACTCATGTTTATTTAGTAGGGCAGACACAGAATTATTAGTATTTGATGTCTTGAATCACTGACAAATATGTCTGAATTCAACAAACTGGGAAAAAAATATAGCTTTTTTGGAAATATTATGTAGCACTATATACTAACTGCTGATCTGATGGTTTATCATAATTGAAATTGATGGGGCGTTTATCATATGATTTCATGAACATTAAAAGCAGTTACTTTTGAAGTTCATCTCAAGGCAGTCCTCATTATTTTTGTTATTGGGTTCTCCAGGAGACCATATTTGGAAGTGAAATTTAGATCCATCACTCCAGAGCCAAACTCCCTCCTGTGAAAAGAAAAAAGTAAAAAGACCATTTTATGACCACAGCATGATTTTATCTTTAATTATCTTTAAGATGATTCCTCATGATTGTATCCTGCTTTATACATGTCAAATATGCAAACAGAGAAATTAACAGAAAATAATTCCCAGGAAACTATTTCAAGTACCAAAAAGAAATGATGAGAACACATCTACTGTGTTTATGAATTTGAAATATGTTTTTAATATGTGACCCTGGTCCACAAAACCAGTCATAATGGTCATTTTTTGAAATTGAGATTTATACATCATACAAGCTGAATAAATAAGCTTTCCATTGATGTATCGTTTGTTAGGATAGGGCGATATTTGGCCGAGATACAACTATTTGAAAGTCTGGAATCTGAGGGTGCAAAAAAATCAAAATACTGAGAAAATCGCCTTTATAGTTGTCCAAATGAAGTTCTTAGCAATGCATATTACTAATCAAAAATTAAGTTTTTATATATTTACGGTAGGAAATTTACAAAATATCTTCATGGAACATGATCTTTACTTAATGATTTTTTGACATAAAAAAATCGATAATTTTGACCCATACAATGTATTTTTGCCATTTGCTACAAATATACCTGTGCTACTTGTTACTGGTTTTGTGGTTCAGGGTCACATATATGCAAATTGTCCAACAGCACAAACAGCATGATCCAAAAAAATGAATGCATACATGAACAGCATCATGGCCCCCGATCCAGGTTCTCGTTGCTCCTTGAGTTACGTATCTAATCAGGTTCTGCATAAAAGCGTACTCCTCATGGCTGTGTACAGAAGCAATATTCCCATCCAAGTGCAGACAGATTTTCTGTAGAGGCGGAGACATTAGCAAACACCGTTGTTTATAAAAAGAAATGTCTATTTTAAATTACTATTCTAAAATCTGTGACATGCCTTTCGATTACCACTGAGAATAATTTTATTAATAATTTTATTTTATTTATTAATTTTATATCTTTATTATTTCATCTGCAAATTCTAATATCCTCCTTGTGAGGTGGGAATACTTTTCTAAAGGGATGAACTTCGATTAACCATGTTAACATGAACATGAGGTTTTGAAATATTATGACTTCATATAGATAAACTTTTTGTGATCTTATCACACTACTGTCATGATAACATCAAATGTATTAAATCTGTATTTTCAAACCATTGTGATTTTTCAGTATTGTCACAGTGTATTATTTGCCCCATAGAGCTCCATTGTAATTGCTTTACTGTTTTTAAACTGAGGAACAAGTTGAAATTATTTTCCTGTGATAACCGACAGGTGTCACAGATTCTGACAAAGCTTGTATTTAAGTTGTATTTACCATAAGAATTTTCTTATATTCTTTTTGCAGATTAGAAGCTAAATGTATCATACCTCGGCATTTATCCAGATTTGAGGGTTGTTGAAAAACTTGAAGCATCTACATCCAAAGGCAGACCATCCTGCCCTACAAGCTGTTAAATGAATAAATATATTTTATTTATTTTGTTTGTTTGTTTGTCATTTCATGTAATTAAATGTCATTTACATTACAGTAAAAGTTTGTTAAACGTGAAAATAAATTATTTAGATTTGAATAAAGAACCATCATGATGTGAAAAGAAAGCCATACACTATTTTGCACTATGTCTAGTCACTAATCAAATAAGTTTTTTTTTGTTTGTTTGTTTTTTTTAAACATTAATTACACAAACTCCTTTGTACAGAAGATGCTCTTTAAAACATTTTAAAGCATGCTGAAGAACATGATCATCAGGTTTACACACACCTTTAAGTTTTAAGTTAAGTTTTGGACTTTGGGACTATACTGTACATACACACTGACAAGAGAAGGAAAAGACAAGATAAGCCTTACCGCCACAACGTTTATCTCCACCTGTTTGAGGCAGCATTCTCCCTTGACAAGTGATCATAATAATAATAATTAATATATACTGCAGATTAACAGGTGTTATGTGGTGGTATTTTATTGTTATGAATAACAAAATAAATGGTAACAATATTAATAACTGTTAATTAATAATAAACAATAATCATGTCAATAGTCAAACAACTGTTGACGTATTATCGTCTTAATATTATCATCACAATTAAGAGAGAAATAGAACAAACTTAGATTTATTTTAATGCATGTGTATATTAAATTATTTTAATCATGGCTTCTAATTAGTCAATACAGCATCCCAGGTGTGCTACAATCTATGATAAAATAAAAGCTATAACCTGATATAATGATGGTTTGTCTTACCTGAAGCAAGAGTTAAGAGAAGACAAAGAGACAGATAGACAGGCCAGACTGCCATTGTTTCTCAAAAAATGCTGGAACACTGCACAGAATTTAAAACAAATCTACTACATGTATTGTTCAGCAGAATTATAAATATATTGATATTTAATGGTTCAATTCTGTGACACAAACCAGTTCAGTAGGTCAGTGTATGCCGCTGTGAAGCCCTGCATGGTTTATCTTCTTATATACCGGAGGGTGTTTGTTTATCGGTATCAGCTTCCAGCACCTGCTCATGTTCTCTTTTCCACTTCCTGTACAAATAAAGTTTTTGTACAGTTTGTACTTTTTTAAATTTTTTTAAATAATACTTGTAACATCATGATGATGTGAATGAATGCTGTTTCATGTGTTCCTGTTGTGTTTTAAAAGCATATTATTCATTATACATAGTGTAATTTTGTAATTGCACCATTGTTTTTATGTACATTGTACATTAATTTCTCACATTATGTTGTCATTTCACAAGATTCTCTTGGATCATTCTCAAATCATTCTGGACAACATTACCACCAGGTTTTACACAAACTTGTTGAGTCCATTCAGCTTGAGTGTTGTTGTCATTAAAATAAATGTTGTATTAACCAAATATAAATTCTGAGATTCATAAAGCTTTCGATCTCAATATGGAACATAATGTCCGGCGGCCCGAAACAGTGATCTCTGTACTCTTCTGTTCAGAGGAGTGAACATGGTTTTAGAGTGATGGTCAAAAATAAATGAACACAACTATTTTAAATCATGTAAACGATAAACTTCTATGGCGCGAAGTAATTATATAAATATATGCTTTACCGGTTTCAGAGTGAAATGCGGCATTTACATCATTTTTGTTGTTTGTGCTGTTGTCCAAGATAAATATGTAACACTTTACTGTCTAACATTAAATCAACACTGCTTGTGAAAATAGTGAATGTTAAAATTTACACAGAAATGTGCAAGTAGCATCTGTTTTTGATTTCTTTATTTTACACATGCACATAATTCCATGTGGTCCTAAACACAGGGATCTTTGTGCTCTTCTGAATTTGTATGACAGTCATCAATCAAATTTTTGACACTTAGCTCACACTATAGCTATACCCTCTCTCACAAACCATTATTAGTCTTCATGATTTATGGTACATTCCTAAATACAGTACATCCACTGAGATCTAGTTGATCTATAGTCTGAAAACTTCTAGAATCTCTCACATCAGGAAAAACACCTGTGCAATAATCATGCTGTCTAATCAGCATCTTGATATGCCACACCTGTGAGGTGGATGGATTATCTCGGCAAAGGAGAAGTGCTCACTAACACAGATTTAGACAGATTTGTGAACAATATTTGAGAGAAATAGGCCTTTTGTGTACATAGAAGAAGTCTTAGATCTTTGAGTTCAGCTCATGAAAAATGGGGGCAAAAACAAAAGTGTTGCGTTTATAATTTTGTTCAGTGTAACTTGAATTGAATATCTTTAATATGACTACCTACACTGAAAAAAAAAAACAGGTTATCTGTATACATTTTTTATGGGTTAAATCAAGTAAAAATAGATAAAGGTGCTGAATAATTATTATTTTTTAATTGTTTCCCTAAAGCAGGGGTGTCAAACTCAGTTCCTAGAGGGCCGGAGCCCTGCAGAGTTTAGATTCAACCCTAGTGTGTGTGTGTGTGTGTGTGTGTGTGTAAGTGAGACAGAGTGTGCTGTGTTGTAAGGGAAGGTTTTTTTTTTTAAGTTGTGTATTTATTTACTTATTTAAGTAACATTCTGGGGTGCATTTCCCAAAACTATCGTTAGCTAACTATAGTCATTAGTTCCACTGAACTCTATTGGTAATGACGGAACTTGCGACCATAGTTGCTTTTGGGAAACGCACCCATCTGTTTTGTTTAATGGACAAAATTGCAGATTCGGCGTTATGATTAGTCAGATCGCGTGTCAGTCAAACTCCCGGTGAGGGTTGAATGGACTCAATGCACGGCCCACCGCCTACGTATTTCCACTAAAATCTCAGTTGTACGCGAGCTTCCGGTTTAGCGTTCTCCGATAGCAAGCTGTGGTAATAGCGTAGTCTTTCTGTCCATTTTCGATTAAGTAGTGATTACAAATAATTATTTTATATTATATATTCCCAAGAAGCTTCAAGTGCCTTCGGCGTGAAGGTGCAGCGTCTATGTATTGCTGTGTCCCATTATGTGACACATCCTCAAGGTTTAATTCTGTGGTTAGTTCCCTTTCATAGGTTCACTTCAATGCTGTGACAGCGGTCGCTGTGGGAACACCTCCGGTGTGACGAATGTCTGAAGCCCTTATACCATCACGCCAATTCATTGGCCAATAGCACTTAGCACCGCCACACGCATACCATATGCCGTATGCCATATCAGCGTGCTGCGCGCTATTTCATCAGATTTAATTTCCTTCAGGAAGCGGATTATCTGTTGCCCGTAGGAAAGCGTTCTTTCGTCTTTTCGTCGTGTTCTCAGCTATTTTCTTAAAAAAAAAAGAGCAGTTTACTCCTCTTCAGCAGACACAATGAGCTACAGGAGATGCATCGAGCCGTGTGACAGGTTCATTGCAGGAGAAGACACTCATGACAGGTGTGTGCTATGTTTGGGCCTACACGCTCAAGCGGCGTTTAACGGCCTTTCTATTGTCTACACTGCGATAGCCTGCGGCTAAAATAATTGCACTCGAGGCTCGCCTTCCCTAAGAAAGGAGGCCTTGCATTTAACCCCCGCCATCCCATTTCTGCGGTTGCCGAGGCACCGCACGAGATGGTCGCTTGGGGTGACGCATGCGAGCCGTAGCTCATGGAGAGCGAGACGACGGAGTTTTCTCCCTTCCTCTCGCTCTCTCCAGGCCACATACGTTCAAGCGTACGAGGAGCGCTATGTGGACCCGGTTGTCTTTGTCAATGATATTTATGTTCTACTTTCGGAAGCTCGTACGGAAGCTCGTAATGCGATTCTTTCAGTTGTGAACCATATGGCGAAGACATGCTGTGTATGAGCTTACGTATAAGAGTATTCTTAGCAAGCTATAACAGTGAGAAGACGGTTTTTCCTATCTCTCTCTAATACTTGCGACGCTGCACTAATGCAGACACGTTCATTTGAGTTGGCACTTATGCTTCCAACTCTTGTTCGTGTAATGTTTTTAGGCGCAGGCTCTGAGGAGTCCTGCAGCAGATGTATGTCGTGCACTATGGTTTTGGCTCTTCATGCTACCAAGCATTAGTTTGCCCAACTAATTACTAATTACTATTTCTTTCAGCTCCACTGCTGCGTCGAGCTGAAACAAATAAGTGGGTGAGCTCACGTATTAAGAGTTTCTTATAGCGAGCTTTCTTATTGAAGCTAAAACATAGTGGCTCAGGCGGTAGAGTGAGCAGACGGGTTTTTCCTATCTTTCTCCCTACTTGCGGCGCTGCACTAATGTAGGCACTTGAATGCCTTGATTCAATTGAAGTTCACTGAATGGTGCTTATGCTTCAACTCTTGTGTTGTGTACTGTTATTAGGTGCGGACTCTGAGGAGTCCTGCAGCAGATGTTTTGCTCTCTCTCTCTCTCTACTTCTGCGCTGCACTAATGCAGGCACGTTCAACTGAACTGGTGCTTATGCTTCCGACTTTTGTTTCGTGTACTGCTCTTAGGTGCAGGCTCTAGGAGTCCTGCATGGTTTTTCCTATCTCTCTCTATACTTGCGACACTGCACTAATGCAGACACGTTCATTTGAGTTGGCGCTTATGCTTCCAACTCATGTTCATGTAATGTTTTTAGGCGCGGACTCTGAGGAGTCCTGGAGCAGATGTATGTCGTGCACTATGGTTTTGCCGCTTCTTGCTACCAAGCATTAGTTTGCCCGACTAATTACTATTTCTTTCAGCTCCGCTGCTGCAGTGAGCTGGAAAATTAAGTGGCAAGCTGTATTAACAGTATGCTATTACGGCTCAGGCTGTAGAGTGAGCAGGCGGTTTTTCCTATCTGTCTCTCTCTCTCTCTCTACTTCTGCGCTGCACTAATGCAGGCACATTCAACTGAATTGGTGCTTGTGCTTCCGACTTTTGTTTTGTGTACTGCTCTTAGGTGCAGATTCAAGGAGTCCTGGAGTAGATGTTGGTCATGCACTATGGTCTTGGCGCTTCATGCTACCAAGCATTAGTCTGCCCGGCTGGTAATATTTCTTTCAGCTCCACTGCTGCTTTGAGCTGGAACAAATGAGTGGGTGAGCTCACATATCTAAAGTGATTCCTATGGCAAGCTGTTTAACACCTAATGCCATAGTGACTCAGGCTGCAGAGTGAGCAGGGGTTTTTCCTGTCTCTCTCTACTTCTGCACTGCATTAATGGAGGCACATACATTGATTTGGTGCTTACGCTTCTAACTCTTGTTCACGTGACTGCTTTTAGGCGCGGACTCTGAGTTCCGCAGCTGACATTTTGTCGTGCACTATGGTTTTTGGCGCTTCATGCTACCAAACACTAGTCTGACCAACTAATAATTATTATTATTCTTTCAGCTCCGCTGCTGCTTTGAGCTGAAACAAATAGTGGACTCTGTTCTTTAGAACTGTGTGAATGAGTTCACGTGTAAGAGAATTGTCTTATGGCAAGCTATTAATGCTCACCATGGTCAGCCTACTTCATATGATTGATGCGGCGCTTATGCTACCAACACTGGCTTCACATGATTGGTTGCACTACGTGATTGCACGCTTCATGCTACCAAGCAGTGATTTGCATGATAATTACTCTGTTCTTGTCAGCTCCGCTGTCGCATTGAGCTGGAACTTTTGCATGAATGTGGGCAACCTTTAAATGCGTTTGTCTCTCTGTCAGCTGTTCCACCGCTTGTTGCGTTTCGGACTGATTTTTACCGTTCTCCGTGCCTTAGCTTTCGGAGATCGAGAGGATAGCCCTAAGGCCATTGGTGTAGGGTCTATCTCGACATCCAAGCTCCCACTTTTGTGGTTGGCGCTGGCTTGACTGATTTTAGGATATATTTCCTGTTTCAGAGGTTTTTCCCGCAACTCGGGTATTTCGAGACCGTAGACTTATAAGTGCATTACCGCCACCTATCTCTCAAGTGGACCATTGACACTCCTAATTGAGATTGTAGATAGAGTGTCAATGGCCCATTTGAGAGATAG